GTGATTCTCCCGAACTGATCGCTCCAATCGTGAAGAAAGCGAATGCCACGACAGGAGAGATGAGCAGCGGGACCTGGGCGAGCGCAGAAGTCAGCGCGCTCATCCTCCTGAATGGGGCCGCCGCATCGATCTCGTCTTTCCGCAGTTTGGCGATAGTATGGCCTAGCCTCTGACCCAGCCCGGACATTTTGATGCTCTTCATATGGCCCAGCATGGTGGAAGTAATACCTGCACATGACTTAGCATAACTCAAGCGACAAGCGACAGCACCCGTTGATAGAGACACCCCGCTTACCAACACGTTCCTGCACTTTTGTAATCCAAGCCATCATGAATCTCTTCGACGGAGGCCCGCAGATCACTGTGGCGACAAGAGCAACAGCGCTGACGATAATGGGGCCAACGAATGCCACTCCGATCTGCCTGCTCAGCAGGTATGTTGCGGTGACGATCTGGAGGATGTTGGCCCACATCTCGAGGATCTCATGCGTGGCGCGGATGATTGCATCAACCTACTCACCGTTAGACTCGTATTTATAAACACATGCAGGAAGCCGCCAGACTGACATCGGTGCTCATGAGCGTGACCGCCGCGGCGTTGTCGATGGCTGTGGTGCTGAGGTCGGTGGAACGGGCAAATATGGCCGATACCAGAATTCCTCGGAGCATGGTGACGGTCCGCGTAGCCTGGTGAGAGTAGAACGCGCCGGACAGGGCGATTCCCAGATAGACCAACCCGTATGCTCCAATCAGACCGTAGCCGTGGTTGATGCTCTCCTCCGGGTCCTCCAAGAACGCGAGGAACTGGTTGAGCACCAGCGGCTGGCAGATGGTGAAGGCGAGCTGGAGCAGCCGTGGGAAGACCACGCCCAGCAGGGGCCACTTCAGGGTACTGAGGCATGACCACAGAAGCCTGTTACTGCTGCTGGGTTTGACTATTGGGTGCTCAGTCACGATCTCACGTCTTGGTGAACATAGATTCACCTACCTTTGTCCCACGCCTTCCAAAACTTGACGTTCAGCGCATCAGCCTTCATCGACTTATCAAGGGCATAGAGATCAGCCGGCTTCAACAGACGGCGGAAACCATCCAGCAAAAGGGGATTCAGCCATGAGAGCAAGCCACGGCTGTACAGACCGCTGGTGATCTCTGGGTTCCTGTCTTGCTCCCCACTCCTCATGATGAACCCAGCCTTTTCCTTGGCCTCGAGAACCAAGAGACACGCCTTCAGAGCAAACGACCCGGTAAACACAGCACGAACAGAGGTGGCGAGATCAGACATCCAAAACGTACGCAGTATCGCGCCGTCCAGCAGCAGGGAGACGAGCAGGTACGCATTGAGGATGGACGAGGGCCTGGGCGACCTCGCGTGCTCGGCGTACGAGAGGGCACAGAACACGAGGCTGGCGACGAAGGACACGCACGACGCGGCGACGGACACGGTCCTGACGCGGCCGAGGAGCGCGCCGGGCTGGGCCGCCCACAGGGCCAGGAGGGCGAGCTGAAGTGCGGAGAAGACGGCGACGGCGGCGAGCTTGGTGAGTCTGAAGAGGCCGTCGCCGGCCACCACGGAGGGGGACTTGCTTAGGTATCTCAGGCGCAGCGGGCCGGCGATGATCAGGAGGGACGCGGGGAGGATGGTGAACAGGTACTGCTCGAAGGCGATGGTGAAGTCGAAGTCCCCCCTGCAGTCCTGGACGACGGGCCCGAAGCTCGCGTCGGCGGTTGGCCAGCAGGCCGCTGCGGAGGAGAAGTTACTCATGGCTGGCTGACTTCGAAGGTCAACTGGTTGTGCCGAGTCGACTGGTTGCACGTAGAAAACCCAGGAGGTTTGCACGAGGTCAGGAGGAAACACGTATATTCATTGCTTGCTTCAATGTTTACATTGTTGATGGTACAATTCGTCCGCGGAAGACAGTCTCAGGGGCTCAGCACGAAGGATTCGTCTGGGACGCTGTTGGTACTGCAGCTTGGACACGCGCGAGATCTTGGCCCGAATTGGAGCTTCCTTTTTCGCGAGATAAGGCCCAGCTCGTACTTGGGCAAGGGTGTGCGTATGTTCTCCCCTGATCATTGGCGCGGCTTTGGTCCAGACACAAATGGTACCATGCATCATCTGCCTTTGTAGGCGTTGAACAAACAGTTGATGACAAGCGAAAGATGGCATGTGAAATACGCGTAAATATATATACGTGTATTTGGGGAGCTAAGCTGTGGCCATGAGGGGGCCTTATCAAGGTTGATCTCAAGTCCACCTGGGCCTGCACCTCGGCCAGGGAGTCCTGGGTCCCGGGGCCTCGGGGAGCTGTGGGGAGCTGTTGTGGGACCTTGTGCAGGGTTGCAAGGGTCCAACAAGGTTAAAGTGGGAGCCAACCTTAATAACCGCAGTCAATACGGAGTAGTAGAAGCTTGCCGACCTCCGGCGCCGGTCTCTGGCGCTGACCCGCTCATTTCTTACGGAGGATGGCTGACTACTCTCGACTACCAAGACAGTCATCTCCCTTGAGTGGAGTGGAGGAATACAGACAGCTGTCGTCTCTCGTCTGATTGTCGCGTGCCTAGCTGTGAGACTAGCTGGGTGCCTACTTTCCCTTTCCTTCTCACTCCCCGTTCCCCCCCATCTTAGACCATTTCTTCCCGTCCGCCACCCCGCGCGACAAGCCTGAAATTCCGCTCCCACGATGCCTTCACTCCGGGTCAATTGGGGCAGGCTGACCCTGGGCCTCGTCCTGTGTGTCGCCATAGCTTTCGTCCGAGCTGAGAGCGCCAAGGATGCCGTCCTGGATGACGTGACGTTGGGGCCGCCCCTGAGCATGGAAGAGATCGAGGATCAGCTTCAAGTATGTGATCGCATCCTCTCTGCATGGTGACAAGGGCAAGCTGACAATCTTCCCCTACAGGACTGCCCCGTCGTCCACACCCTCACCGCCCAGAAGCTCGCCCGCCTCTCCGGCAAGACCTCCCAGGTCGCAAGGCTTTTCTCCATCCTCTTTCCCAGCAGCTCGCCCGCCATCAATGCCCTGTTGGCCACCCTCTACATATCCGGCCCGCCAAACTTCCTCCTGGCGCTGTGCCCGCCGAACATCGACCCCTCTTCACTGTCCGTCATGGTGGCATTCGCCGTCGGCGGCCTGATGGGCGACACGCTCTTCCACCTGCTGCCCGAGATCTTCCTAGGCGAGGACGACATGGAGAAGGCCCGTTTCGTCCTAGTCGAGCCAAATCGAAATCTGTTGCTCGGCGTCGCCATCCTGGTCGGCTTCATGACTTTTGTCGCCATGGACAAGGGACTCCGCATCGCAACGGGGGGCGACGGTGGGCACGACCACGGCCACGGACACAGCCACTCGCACACCCACGAGAATGGCAACGCGGTCGCAAAGTCCACCGCGATCGAGGGCACCGATGCCACGGGCGTCAAGTCCCGGAAGAGCAAGACAAACGGCACAACCGCAGGCGAGAAGGAAGCAGCAGCAGCGCCTGAGAAGGAGCTCAGCCAGAGCGTCAAGCTCGGCGGCATCCTCAACATGATAGCCGACTTCACGCACAACATCACCGACGGCCTCGCCATGTCAGCCTCCTTCTACGCCTCCCCGACCGTCGGCGCGACCACCACCATGGCCGTCTTCTTCCACGAGATCCCCCACGAGGTCGGCGACTTCGCGCTCCTCGTGCAGTCGGGCTTCAGCAAGAAGGCCGCCATGGGCGCCCAGTTCATCACCGCCGTCGGCGCCCTCCTCGGTACCTGCATCGGCATCGCCGTCCAGGAGTACGGCGGCTCCGGCTCCTCCGAGTCCGAGGGGCCGCTGCCCCTGAACGGCGGCATCTGGGGCACCAGCCTGACATATGGCGACCTGCTGCTCCCCTTCACCGCGGGGACGTTCCTGTACGTCGGCACCGTGGCCGTCATCCCCGAGCTCCTGGAGACGGGCAAGAACAGGCGGGAGGAGCTGGGCAAGATGCTGAGCCAGTTCGCGGCTATCGCACTGGGGGCGGGGATTATGCTTTACATTTCGTGGCACGATTAGATGTTGGAATTTTTTGCCCCATCGGCCCCGGCCGTGTCGATAGACGGTGACAGGTACAATGCATTTAGATGTATAGAAGGCTGCGTGGTGGAAGTGTCTTGGCTGGTCAGAAATGCCGCCGCCCTAGGAAGGAGTATTCTTGTGTCGACAATAGCGTAGTCGCATATACTTGAAGCTCGAGACAGTAATGACAGCGCAAATCACCAGGCACTTGCTGTGGGTTCGGTAATCAAGTCCGAGCAAATTGCTTAAGATATACTGTGCCTGCAGTAACTGTGAATTGCTGATTACTGCAAATCCAAGTAGAGCAGTGTATCAAAACATCTGCATTTGTATTCCCACAGCTTTTCTTCCAAGCACTTTTTGGTTACACCCTTCTCTGCCCAGGTGCTAATCGCGGCCCAGGGGGTGATCTACGCTTTAATCCACAGTTCAAGTTTACCAAAGTATCAGTTGATTTGTTACCCACGTTCACCCAGATGATAAGGTTTATGGTTCTGAATAGTTTTCCGTGATGCATAGTCCTTTCATAGTCTTCATTTGGGAAGTCTTCCAGAGCATATAGAAATTGTTCCATAAGCCATGCTAGCATTTTAATAATCGATATAATCCTTCATATGCACGCCCAACCCAAATTATAGGCCCTGGTACATGGAATTACATTTTTTACGCCCAGTAAGTACCAAACTAGTGACGTATTTGGACAGAATAGCCAGTACGAGTCCGCGGGAACCCGCGCTCCATTCTCCAAAGCCGCAGTAGGTCATAGTTTATCCTTGCCCGGCCAGCTCGACCGTCAAAGCTACCGTGAGCATCAAAACAGCACGGGCAAGTGAGGCTCGTGCTGGATCAAACCAGCCTTGTAGTGGAGCCACTCAGCACGAACGTGACAAGCTCTTCCGTAGTGTGCCGCTAGTTGATAGTTTGGACTTGAACCAGGGTCATATATCTTTCTCCAGGCAGTAATCTCAGGCCATGTGGTGTAATGTGAACACGCCTCTCAGTATCCAAAGGAAATGTTGGTTCGATTCCAGCCATGGCCTAATTTCCTTTTTTGGGCATTTCTTTCCTTGTCCCACCTCGATATCCTTCCCACGACCTTGACCCAGATGCAGGGGACCGACCCTTTTGTTGCTGAACAAATCAGGATTTTTTTTTTTTCAAGGGGGAACACCTCGCAAGGGTCATCAAATACTAATGTCTAAGGCCTGGTGTGGTTGGGACTGTCTGAGTCCTGCACCTGCAGCAAGTACGCTCTGGCAGAGACCTTCCTTCCTTCCTTCCTTCCTTCGACCAGCCTACTCGCGAAGTCCACACCATCTGGTGCGGTGGCATGAATCCCAAGCGATATCTTAGAGGTGAAAAGTTTTCCCCAGGGTAACACAGTTAAACTCACTGGGTTGTGTGAACATCAATCCATACCTTCGCGTTGACCTAAGCATACCGCTTAAAGATCCAGCCCACCAGTTGGCTGCCGATCACGGCCCTTGGAGAGAAGAGAGAAAGAAGTCTGCAAAAGGTGGGAGGTGGGAGGGCTTAAATGGTAAACTGAACATGGGCCTCCTACCTGGCAGAATGAAGGAGGCAGGTACGCCTTCCTCCACTCATCCCACCTCCCCAAGACACAGCAGCAAGGATTGAAATCTCTAACCTGTATGGGAACCCTGCGTTATCTACTGTCTTCATGATAAGAGGGTTGTTCTCAGTCATCTTGTTGCGAAATGGAAGTGACCGAGTGCCTGTAGCATGTCTGTAGCACGATGGGGAGGGAGGCTGCATGGTCTGGCCCGAACAATTTTTGACCTTGTTCTGGGAAATGAAGAAGTATCTTTGCCAATTTTGAACTTGCCATCTGGAGCCTGCTCAGGCTGGCAGGAGTGCACGGCGCATGAGGCTGCGGACGGTACTTTGGTACCTTGAAGAAGTTGCCCAACCTCATTTGCATGTGGTGAGCGACAGACATCGAAGACTTCTTGCTTTCGCCATACATTTTCCGTCACACAGAGCGGATCAACAGTGACAATTTCTTTACACATCAATGCAGCTCAATGGGATATGGCTCCGAGTAGAGCGCAGCTTGCAGGGTCTATTTCGCGCCCCAGCCAAGCTGGCTGAAAACAGCCGGATCGCGAGGACAATTTGGCTGTATCCCCGTGCTTCTCTGTCGCTCGGGCAAGCTGTGGAGGTAGGCCTGGCCTCGAGGCTGCTGCTGCATGGTTGGAACGTAACATGCAACGCGTTCCTCTTTTCAACCCATCTACAGTAACCACGCAGCAACCTCGGGACGATTTTTGGAATGGTCTTGAGCCCACAATCAGGAGCAGCAGAGCCTCGGTTCCACGATGAGGTCGTAAATAAACTAGCAAAGCCTTTGAGAGGTTCAGCAACACGGAAAGTCATTTAAAACCTGCCACTAGAAGTATAACTATAGCAATCAGATCAATGAGTAAAGACTTTGATGCTATCCCTATTCTAGTAGGTATATACTTTTCTGAGATGTTTAGTCAGTTTATTGACAGAAGCCGCACCATCACAGTCAGTTACTTCTACATAATGACCGTTGACAGCACCGGTCTTGCAACCCTCCCCATCACCTGTTTCACTCCCTTCCATCTTGATAAAGACCTCCCTACCCTCCCTCCTACCACCCCTCTGCAGCACCCACGCGCCGGCGACGGCCGCCACGCCCTTGAACAACGCGGCATCGACAACACTCGCAAAGTCGAGCGTGTCAAAGCCCGGCAGGCCCCGCCACCACCGCGTGCGCAAAGCCTCGGCGAGGATCAGGAGCAGCAGCGCCGCATTGACGCCCAGGACGGCAAGCTGGTACGGCAGCTGGCCGACCCGCAGGGCCGCAAAGTGGCCCCAGATGGCCGGCGCCGCCTGGCCGGCTGACTTGTCTGCGAGGACGAGCTGGCTACCGCCGTAGATGCTCCAAAAGTAACTAAATGATAAGAAATATTGGGCAGGATCTCTTAGTCCTGTCAAAGTACCTCAACATGGCCTGTTCTCAACGTCGAAAGGCCCAGACAGCCCATGGCATGGAAGAAATTGTCGAATGGCTGTATCTGATCTGGGCTCTGCAATCATATCGGTACAGGCTGCAAATACCTTGCCAGGCTGTCAGTCGAGCTTCCATTCCTTGCCAGGCACGGAGGTAGTTAGAATACCAAGATATGTGATTGACCACGCACCCTTCTCACCATTGCATTGCAGAGCCGGGTCAAGCCGTCAACCGTCCGCAGCCTTTCGCCGACACCGCCCTGCAGGTGTGATCCGGAGTTGCTTTTCAGAAGCAATTCCACGCCTAATAGCTGCTTCAGGCCAATTCCACGTCCGATGGCGTCGCACAAGATCCACTGTCAGCTTGGGTCGGGCACACTCACATATTGCTTGAAACTTACCGAATTTCCTGTGATGCAGAGTTGCATTTTGCAGGAGGCTGGGCTGCCACCCTCTACCCCAGACCCCCAACCTCGATCGCTTTCCTTCCATGTTTTCTCTGTCAACTGGCTTTGCATCAGTCAATGCATGTTTCCCGTGCCTAGTGAATTCTCCAAAGTTACTTACCTTCCGACTTGTTCGTCTCTTGAATTTATTGCGACCCGAGCGACCACCTGGGGTCCTGAAATCAATGGATCAAGAAAAGTTCCGGAGCATACATGCCCCGGACGGTGACTCGGAGGCCGCTTCGGCTCTCGACCAAAGTATACGACAGGTGAACAGCATCAAAGACCGAAATCCCCTTCCGCAGCTTGAGACCACTTGCGATGTTTTATTGCGCGAGGCAGTCATTCTCAAATCTGAGTCTCTGGTCGCAGATATGGAAGAGCGATATATTCGAGAACCGGGACGACAAGCATTGATGGGCTCCTTTCGCGAGCTAAGCCCTGGAAACCTGAAAGCTGTGTTGAAGGGAGCGCATGCTTCTTCCCTGAAAACACTTGAAAACACTTCAGGGTTCCCTGGTCCACCAATAGGAAGATTATTCTCGTGGTCTATGAGCCTGCCACAGCCACAGCTACAACACGACACGTTGAACCAAGCGGCAGAGAGCGATGGCCCCGTGTCAGAGGAACCTCGTGACAAGCTTTTAGGACTCATCTGGTACGCATCGTCGAAGAGATCTTTGCAACATATTAGCTGATTCAACACTCATCAGGTCTATTAACCCAGGACCGAGCATCGACAAGCGACTTCTTCATGATCTCAGGCTCCTGATGTTGTCATGTCCGGGTAATGATCATAAATTCTCAGACGAAGCCCTCGATCTAGCTTTTGAGTATGTAAAGTCTAGAGCAAGGAATTTATTTGGATGGTGTAACTCAGCCTGCAACACCTTTTACGACGGGTATCCGACCCCAACGCGGCATGCCCGCGAAGTGGACAGGTACGGCACATTTTCCCTGCGATTCCATCTTAGGGCCTTCCAAGATGTCAAGAGAAAAGATCAGACTAGTCTGTCCGTCCACATACCTCTGGGAAATCGTTACCTAGCCCATGATCTGGGCATCAGAGAAACCCGCAGGGCTTTCGCCCTCCTTTTGCCATTCACGTTACCGGCAGGTACAATGGTGTCGAATTTGACGGAAGATTTCTTTATCCTACGACTTGTCGAAGCCGACAGCGAACTCGAAGTCGACGTCAGGGAAAGAGACAACATGATTCAGCTGTGTAAGCCAGCAACTGGCATTGCGGTGTTCCAACGAATGCTGTGGTTGGAAATTGATGAGTGGGAGCGTGATTGGCGTAGCGCCCTTAATAATATTGAACGGAAGAGTGCTTTTGAGGTATTTCACGCTATCTTATAGTTCAAACCTGCGACCTGTACTGCTTGGTGCCTGCTCAGTTAATCATGGTGGAGTTGACCTGATCTCTATTGCAGATCTCCGACCTCCTCGATGCCACGAAGCGACAGAAGCTGATGTATGATGACCACAACATGACCCGGTCGGAACTTTACTTCACCATGGATCAACTTCTTCGAGTTTTTGGGGATTGGACGAGCGATTTGGTCACCGACCTCCGTACCCTCCAGCAACATATCCTCGACAACTTTGTGAAGAACTACCGCACCGATATCACGATTTCAGGGCTGGAGCCAGGGGCACAGTCACGCCAAACACTTGAGCCCAACTGGGAAAATCTGCTTCGTCATGCTGAGCGCTCCCAGACCGATGTTCACACACTTGTTACCCAGAAGCAAGACGAGATCCGAAGCTTACGGGACGGTGTGCGTCTAAACCCTCTAAATTGCATGGCCACTGTATTAATCACGGCTTCTATCTTAGTGGTACAATACCATACAAGTCCGCGAATCGACCAAAAGCACCAGAATGAATCAGATTATGGTGATTTTCACCGTCGCTACAATCTTGTATCTGCCACCAACCTTTGGCGGTAAGTGGTCATTCCGAGAGATCTGATGCACATCATGATATATCTTTGGAAAAGCTGCTGAGGTCTAGTAGACGTTCATGGCGTTGGACTTGTTCCAAACCCCAGACATGCACCTTTTCTGGGTGGTATTCAGTGGCACAACTGTTGTCACGTACATCGCAGCTGTATTTGGGTTTTTATGGGTGTACTGGGAGGCTGTTATGGGTTGGCTGATGCCAAAGCGTAAGAAACGCTGGTTGAAAAACGACCATATGGTTCGCATCCATGCGCCCAATCATGAACGCACTGCAAGCCAATACGGTTTAGAGTATTAGCTTAGACCTCGGATTCAAGCAAGTCTCCCCGAGAGACAAGGGGGAATGGCCAGCAGGAGTACTCCCGGGAGGCTGTGGCAACCGACAAAGACAGGGGAGCAAGTGGAAAAATCCATAACCTGATGACAGCAGGCGGGAAGAAGAAAACAAGTCGGCAATGTGCCTCTTATCAAGCCGTCCTACGTAGAGCTCTAAGCTGGTGCTCCGGGTCCTGGAGGGCATCGCCACGCAGCCTCTCCTCATTCTCCGCTGCAAAAGCCAATAACTGATAAAACAAAATGGGTCGTATTTGTACCAGGATGGCGAGCACAACTGGGCTGCGTCAATGG